TTGGGCATCACAAAATGTGGTAATTCTAGTTCAGAAAATAGCTCATCGGTATTATTCAAAACAAAACGAGGCATCAGAACATAAATCCTTTCCTTTTTTCGGGTCCTGAAACTACCCGATATTCTCCCTATCCAACCTTATCCAGACTTATTACTAGACAGTCTACTGTCTACTTCACTCTGGTTAATACAAGAAAAGCCTGCTAATTCTAATAATATACATGATGTACTAACAATTGTATCCTCTTAATTATTAGCCACCGTCTCATGGATATGTATATTACATTAATGTACAACAATGCAGCTACCTCCATCTTTGGTTCCACTGTTCTTTTGTTCCTCAGATGGATCCTCCGGGAACACTTACCGGAACCTTCAACCCAACCTCCGCCGGCGAAACAAATACATGAGATGGTTGGACATCATAGGTTCTCAGAAAAAAAGAGTGCACTTCTGCAATTAGATTCAGTAAGAATCATTTTTAGGTTTCAAGTCTTAGTACGGTTGGCAGTAGCCGGTACTTGAGTTGAACTGGATGGCGGAGTTTGCGGCTGTGGTGTGCTGACATTAACCATGGGATAATTTTCATCAATTGCACCCAACTCATTCCATACAACCCCAGCTATAGTTGATAGTTAAGAAATTCAGTAGACATATTTTGACCACTGAAATATTGACCCCAAATAATAAATAATAAATGGAAAGAAAAACAACATCTTTCAGGACAAGGATACGTTCTGTTCTCCACGTCTGATACTAATATCAGCATCTGATAAAACCCAGTAATCTGCATCACTCTGAAAAAAGGTAACAGAAAATGCTCACACTGTAAGTCAAAGTTATTCTTTCCTCAGTACAACAAAAAACAATTTAACATGTCACACCTTTTTTTTTTTTGTAAATGATTTTTTTTTTGCCATAATGTGTAAAGGGTCATTTAACAAGGTACGAAAAGATACCTATTTGGCTAAATAACTAGAACTCTAGAAGATGTTTTGCAATTAAAATAGGATTAGCAGAAGTATCTAATGAAAAGGGAAACTTCCATTAAAATTTTGTTAATTCATGAAATACTAGTTTTCAGGATAATTTTCTACAGACATCTCAAGAGCATAATATGATACTTGTGCAGAAGTATTCTTCCCAGCCCCACTAAAGGCAACCAATGAAGAATACATTTTTTTTAGCATATTGAATCTTTCAAATAGGCAATGGTAAAATCAACTTGGAAGCCAAACTTACATCAACATCTGAGGGAACAATCTTCATCATCCCACTCATGATGTCCTGGGAAGCAGTGGGATCAGTGCACATTCTATGATCATCTGGTCCCTGAATTTCAACATCCTTCCCTCTATTCTCTGTGACCATTGTTGTAGCTGGGTTTTCATTAACCCCTGAACTTGAGGGGATGTCTGTAGGTACTTCAACACCATTAATCTCCTCGAACTTCTCCTCAAATTGACTAGCATGAGAGAGAGAGAGAGAGAGAGAGAGAGATTACTAAAATTCATTGTAATTCTCGACTATGCAAGCAGGAGAAACCATTCACTGTTGCTCTTAAAGTAACGATAATGTCCTATGAAACAACAGTACCTGACAAGGTAGACATCTATTGGACCCATCGTGCTTCTCAGGACCATCCTGTATCTCCTTTGGGGATAGTCAACAGCCTAGTACATAATACAAAAGTTTGATTGAATATTAAGAATGTACAAGGCTATAGAAATTTTTTAATAAGTAATGTTTTGTCCTGAACTACCTCATCAGGATCTGGGACTTCAAGAGTGGTGCCATGTGGAGCTTTAATTGCTATTAAGGTTTCATTCTGATAGAAGCAATAAATCGTACGTTCAGTTTAACAACATAGAGGAGAACATTTTGTTAGAAAATACAGAGTGGGGAAGAATGATAATTGCATTGATGAGAATAGCAAACACCAAAACTTTACCTGCAAGCAAGGTAAGCCCTTGATGTCTTCTTCAGTAACAAAAAGCCATCTACCAAAGTAAAAAGGAAAACTGAGATAAGTGTTTGCATAAATTGCAACAGGGTAAGCTAAAAATAGAATGTTAAAAACTAGCCAGTGATGACCTTCCATGGAATGTAATTGAATACTGAACATTAAAGGATAAAACTTTACTTCTTATTGCTTTCATCTTCGCTCAGGTCCCTCAACCTTTCCTGCATTTCTCTGGACAATTTAATAGCTTCAGCACAAAACAACAAATAACAATAGGAAAGAATGAAAAAGCAGCATCAGCCAAGGATTAACCTTATTTGCTGATCCAATCTGCGCTCCTCATCAGATAGGTTTTCAACTTGTGCCTGGGATAAAAAGGAAATTGTGAATGAGGTCATATCTGTACTTCAGAATTGGCAAACATTATTTTTGCTATGACGTGCAATGAAAAGTTGACAGATTTTATGTATGATCCATTGTCTCTAGTCTTAATCAACCATGACACTAATCTTAGGAAGCTCAACCAAACAAAGGCCTTGGAAACTCTTTCCAACCAATAACACAAATCTTGCTCTTTTCATGACAGTCATTGAAATTCAAATGCATCACACAAACTTGGAACTGGACAAATGTGGACTGAAATCTAGCATGATCAACCAAAAACAAGTCTTGTCAAAGTAATCTAATCAAGAAGGCAAATCTTGCTTTGTCATGCCAATCATTCATATCTGAATGCATTAGGCTGAAAAATGGTACTGGACAAAACATGCGGACTGAAATCTAACACGCTTAACTATTCGAGTCAAGAACATAAAATCCCCGCTTTGTCATGCCAGCTATTCATATTTGAATGCATTGGAATTGGACAAAACATTTAGACTTAGGTAACATGATCGGTAACGAAATCATGCTGAAGTTCAAATATGGAAAGCAATTTGCACAGAAAACCCAACCAGTCAGTAAAAGGGATGTTGACTTTAGATTTATATGGTTATTTACTTCCTTGCAAGTAAATGCAGCCTTTTTAATCAGCTAACACTTTCAGTCTAGGTTTGGAATCAACAATGATAGTTAGGTTGGGGACTGGTGCGTCCAAAAAGAAGAGAGAACAGAAAAACAACAAATAACAGGACATAATAGCACAAACACCAACAGCATTGGTACTTTTAAGCAAACAAACATACAGTCTCAAAAACTGAGCCAAGACTAAGCTATCCAAGCACAAGCATGCCAAGCAACAAGTTCACTTTTTTCCGTACCTGTAAACTAGGATAATTTTCGTCCACGTCTCCTGTCCTCGAGACATCAAGTCCCCTAATCAACCAATCACTCAATTTTGAGTAACTTCTAATGTACAGTGGATAATTGAATATTTACAACTTAATAAAGTGGAAAAATAGCTGTTAAAATTTCAGGAAACAAATACAAATAATCCCTTACTTCCACTGAATTCTATTTTTAAGCTTCTTTTCTATAAGACCAATTCCTTCAAGAACATTTGTTATATCATAAATCCGCCTCTTTTGCACCTGCATATAAAGAACACTTAAAATTTACAGATTCTTGACATAGAATACATTACAACAGATAGGAAAGTAGTCACCTCTAAAGTATCAGCAGCATTATTGAGATCCAGAATACCATCTTCCGCATGTTTGATCAGATTGATAAACTTTTTTGTTAAGAGACCTGAATGGCAATAATAGGACATTGCCATAATATTTGCACAACAAATGAAAAAATTAACTTGCTTTTCTGATGAAGAACCTAAATAACTAAATGATAAAATCAGTTAACAAAAAACATAGGAAATCGTTCTGTTACCTAGGGAGCTGTCAAAACGACAAGGTCCGGCTGGAGTAAGATTAGCCCCAGAAGGAGAACCTGTCAATTATACAGATTAGATGGGAGTAATCAAGCAAACAAATCCCATAAATTCTCATAGCATCAGCTAATTCATTCTTTTCGGAACACAACTAATCCATTCTTCAAATCTCAATTAAACCTTACCTCGCATATATAATAGAACTACAAGTATGGGAGCACACTTGACAGATTTAAGTAACACTCACCCACATTGGAAGCCGGAGTCTGGGGTCCAGATCTGCTACACTTTGTCAGCCTTGATGTTTTGTTTGCCTTTCCCACCTTGCTTGACACAGGAGTCTGGAGGGGGCTGGTAACTGCTTCAGTATATCCAGTAGCAGCTGTCCTATCACTAGACTCAGCTTCGTAATCTGCTGCATCACTCTTCCGTTTTAGCTGCTAATCCACCATTCAGTTTATTCCAAAAATTAGCATCAAATGAACAAACCATATCATATAAGTAATTATAAAATGAAAATAATTGATCAATTGAAAATACATAATGACTATGAAGAGAATGATTATTATAATTACGCATACAGGTACATTAGCTGGAAAGATGTTAGCACATCATCCAAACCAATCTACGTTTCCAGAGGACTATGCTCTACAAAGAAAACTGGAAGCT